GCCGACTCCTGATCCAGGCTGCCCTCGCCCCTTCCCTCCTCCCGGAAAAGCCAAGGCTCACGTCAGCTCGCGTGGGAAGGAGGCGGACAGGCCTCGGCCCAGCCAAAGCGTGTCTGCAGCCTGCCAGAGTGGCAGGGCAGGGCGGCACCAGGCTGGTGTCTTCAAGGACTGCCCCTCTCGTACCGCCCTGACCCAGCGCCTTGACCACCAGATGCGGGACCCGTCGTGACCCCCCCAGGACGTGCAGAGCCCGGGCTCCCACGCGAACCTCTTGGGGACGTCGATGTTCCTAGAAACAGGCCTGTAGGCGGGTGCCTGGGCCCCCAGCTCCGGGGCCGGTGCCCGTAGCTCGGCCAGCCACACCTCCTCGGCTCTGCAGCACACCTGCGACATCTGCTCCAACAGCCGGACGGTCACCTTGTCCTCCGGCCAGCTGTGCTGCTCCACGAGGCCCGCGCACTCCTGACCGCCACACCACACGTAGACCTGCGGAGAGAGCAGCAGCGCTGGGGGTCGGCACAGGCCCCGAGCTCCCGGCGGGCCCTGCCGCTGGCTGCACCCCCACGTTCAGCTCAGGCAGACGCCCCAGCCCTGCGCCCGACCTGAGCGCCCGGACTAGCCCCGGAACCGGTCCTCCGACATCAGACCCTCCCGCGCCCCCCGGGGCCCTGACGGCTCTGAATGTGGTCTCTATGCCACTGATGCTGCGGCCAGCGGCCGGGCGCCTGCAGTCCACACGCCTCGCCGTCGGTGCCGTCCTGCAGCCTCCCCAGCGTCCATCCGCCCGTCCCCTCGGCCTCCCCGCTCTGGCTGACCCCCCGAGGATGGCGTCCGGAGCCACCGGGCCACGCAGCCACGCTGAGTGGCTGCATGTGGCCAGGGGTTACGCACGCTATTGCTGAACTTCTTTTTAGTGTCAACCACCGCTTGTCAAGAGAGTTACGAGAACTACAAGATACAAGACGGTGCTCTGAGCCGCGTGGTGACCACAAAGGGGAGCCCCCAGTGCTTGACCACAAAGGTCAAGGCGACACACCCTGACGAAGTCAGCAAATCAGCAAGAGGGAAGGCCGGAACCAGGCCACAGCACGGGCCTCGTCCACGCAGAGCTACGTCCCGGTACGCGGACTGAGTTCTCCCACCGGGTCTCTCTGTCCCTCCCGACGTCCGGGGCTGCCCTCCCTTGCGAGTCCTGTGAACTGCGGGTGCCCGAGCGCTGCCCTGGACTGCTCACACCTCGCACCTCTCCTACCAGGGCACTCGGGGCCAACCTGAGCCTCAGGACCTTGGGGAACGGGCGGGGCGCACTGACCACTCTCGGGGCATGGCCACCAGGCGGCAGCCGCACCCAGGGAGCTTCCAGCCTGTCCCTCGGGTCCCAGTGGCCCCCTGGTCCCAGGTGTGGGGAGACAGGTCATGTGTCCACTGGCTCACCTACCTTCTGCCCAGGTTGAAAGGCCACGGCGGGCAGGCCTGAGGGGCAGGGGGCCCTGAGGACCTCCTTGGGCTGTTCCGGGCGGTAAGAGTCCTTTGAGGCGAGGCCAGGCTGGGAAGATGCCCCCTCCAGGAGCTCGGCCTGAGGCTCCAGGGCCGGGCCCAGCACCCGGGCTCCCAGGAGGGACCGCTTTCCGAGGCGCCGGGACAGCACGCTGGCCATGCTGCTGTCCTTCCTGGGGAAGCAAAGGACACACGGGATCATTATTGTGGTCTAGAGGAACTGGGGAACTGGGCAGGGGCCCCTAAGTGTCCGTTAGAAGGGATGAGACATTAGGCGTCCCTAGCGGTGCAGGAGTTCAACTCTCAGTGCTGTGAGCTGGCCGCAGCCGCTGCAGCACGAACGAGTGCCATGCTGGGCAGGGAGTGGCCCCCCGCTGCTCCCTTCCGCAGGTATTTCAGGAGATCTGCCTGTTTTGCTCCCTACTCTGTCTCTGATGAGTCCTCTCACCCCCCACATTGTTGGCCTGCACCCCAGTTCTTGTGTGCATAAATAACTACGTCATAATTTTAAAAAGAGATGAAACACGTAAGGAGCTCTACATTTTTTTCTCATTTGTGGCCACCGAGGCACCGAGCTCTGTCGTGCTGCCCAGCAGCACCCGGCAGAAGGCCGAGCTGGCCCCGGCCGCTGGCTCCCCTGAGTTTTCTGGGAAGACACCCCCACGCCGGCTCTGCTCCTCCGATGCCCGGGAACCAGGGCCCAGGCCAGCTCCTCCCCGCCCTCACCCCGGCCCCCAGGGCCTCGCCTCCACCATCTACACCCAGAGCCAGCGCCACGAGGCATCCACAGCACCCCCCAGTCAAGCTCTGAGCTCACAGCCCCCACACCCCCTTCCTGGTCCCCCCGCCTCACGGGTCACCACGGCGCCCCGGCCGCCGTAAACCTGCCCTCCGCCCGCGCAGGTCGGTGGTCAGAGCAGAGCCCACCGGGGATCCACTGCTCCGGCCCCCCGGCCTGCAGCTGCCGACCCCACAAGCCACGGCCGCCCTCCTCGGTCTCCCTGAGGTCGGTCCACGTCCCCTGGGTCCCCAGCACACGCCCAGCCGGTTCCCTCCTCCGTCACTGAAGAGGCGAGGACTCGCCACGTGCAAGCTGCCCGGGGCCGTGGCGGGGTGCCACCCTCGGACCGCACGGCCCCCACCCGGCCCAGGTCACCCAGGCACGCTCCTGCTCCCGCAGCCCCCACCACCAGGAGACACAGCACCAGGCTCTGCGAGGGTTCAGACTTGCTTTCAACGGCTGCACAAAACCCTCTTTGCCATCTGCATTTACTCTTTTCCAAAAGTCCCTAGTGCTTCACCGGGGTCCCCCGCCACCCCCACACCCCCCAAATCCCGGCCTCGTTCCTGCCACTCCAGGGAACTGTGCTGCCTAAGCGTCTCCCCGGCACAGGCCGTGAACGGATACGGAAAGTTTACCCGAGTAAGGAGGCCGCAACGGGAAAGGGCCCGGCTCTGTGGCCGTGGGGCTCAGCTCGGAGCACGTGGGCCACCGCGGGTCCCGGAGAGCAGAGCCGTCCAGGAAAGGCCGTGCAAGCACCTGCAGCACGCGGTCCAGAAAGGGGCCGCGTTCACACGGTCACTCTGCAGGAGGAAGCGAGACCAAGGAGTCCGCGCTTCACGCTGCGAAGAGGAATCTGCGCTGGGCCTCCAGCCCTCGCCGGGTCCTTGAAGCCTCAGAACTGAAACAAGACCCTCGGCTGGGTGGAACCTCAGCAGCCCAGCCGGGAGTCACAGTGCCACTTGGAGACAGCAGATGGCAGCACCCAGCCAGGACAGGAAAGGCCCTGCTCTCCAAAAAAAAAAAAAAGAAAAGCAAAGCCCGTGGCCACCCCCATTTTCCACAGCAGGAAGTTTGAGGTTCCTACCGCTGCAGATGAAGAGAGGCAGCATTTCCAAACTCCCTGTGCTCCCAGCTTCAGAGGGAGACTGAAATATTTGGTGAACAGACTCTGATGCTGTCCCCTCAAGCTTTTCTTTTTATTTAAAGCACATTTTTTACTTTCTTGTCTGTCTTTCCAAAGCCGGCTACGTTTGCAGAGTTAAACGGGTCCCTCCTGGCTGCTTCCAAGTCAGCCTGTATTTCTGCCCCTTCTTTAACTGGCCCACAGCCCACCCTAAAATGCCATTATTATTTGCTCCATTAGAGTAAGCCCAAGTCTTGATTTTTAAAAGCTAAGAAGGGAAACTGCCTAGCAGGCACCAGCTTTCATAAGCTGCAGTGAGTTCTCGGGGTCAGTGGTGACCGGCACACCAGGCAGGAGATACACGAGGGCCTCTTCAGTAACCCCGACGGAAAAAAGCAATTCCCAGTCCTACGGGTTTCTACCCTCCTTCCCTCATGAACTTTAAATTAAAAAAAGGAAAAAAAAGTATGCACACAAGAACTGGGGTGCCGGCCAGAGGTGCCGGAGGGCGGGGGTGATTCACCAGAGACAGCGCCGGGGGCAGGACAGGCAGATCCGCTGCGGGGAGACAGGAGGGGTCTGCTGTACCCCTCCTGGGGTCACATTTATGAACCCCTTGCGCCACCAGGAGGCCCACCTCACGCCCTGTGTTTCCCTGAAAATCCGCCCTCCACACACACCTGAGCCCCCACCTACAAAATAAAGGCCGAGCTTTGGTCTGGCCCGTCGCACCGTCCCAGTCACTGTTAATCATTTAGCGAATTTGGGACTTTATACATACATGTCCGGTCCTCCGAGAGGGCAGAGAGATAAAACAACTGGCCCAAAAAGTTAAATAAAATTTTAGCCAAGTTACGGGGGGGGGTGGGGGGGCAGGGATCCAGACTGGAGATGGACAGACGAGTGAGCTGCCAGGGCTGCCGCAGGGCCCGGCTGGCCCTCACCTGGCGCCGGTACAGTGGACAAGGACACAACCGGGGCCCCGCAGGGACCGGGGCGTGACAAGCACCCAGCCCTGCACGCAGGTGGAGGAGCCAGGCGAACCCCGGAACTGAGCGACTGCCTGGGGCCCCGGGGCATGACGCCCGGATGAAGGGTCACCTCCTGGCGCACCCCCTCACCCTGCGGTAGCGTCCTCCCTCCCTTCACCTCTTCTTCCTTCTTGTCCCTTGGGCTCTGCCCTGGGGGTGCTCAAGGGTCCACAGAAACCAGCCACCCCTTAATCTGCCACAGTATTCCCATGCAACAAAGTCAAGAAACATCCATTTCAGGCCCTCCCTGGAGGCCCAATGGTTAAAGCACAGCACCATGACGCTCGCGGCAGCCACGTCACTGTGAGTTCCAACCCCAGCCAGGGGTGACCCACAGGGCTCGGCAGACCTCTCCTGACCGCCCGCTGCTCCCCTCAGCAATGGACTTCGTCAGTCAGCCTGTCCTGCTCCCCACTCTGTCTCTGGTGAATCCTCTCTCCACTCCTGCACCTCTGGCCTGTACCCCAGTTCTGTGTGCATAAACAAATAAGTCTAAAAAAAAAAGAAGAAAATATCCATTTCAGGGTCACCCTGAGAGCGTTCCAATGGCAGCCAAACGCCTCCTCCCACCCCACACTCTCCGCGGAGGGAGGAATCCCTTGATTCAAACAGACACTCCGGGTTTTCCATGTGTTTTTTTTTTTTAAAAAAAGCCTTCACCCCTGATGGATCCTGAGCCCACTGGCACTGCTCCCCGACTGGAGGAGGGGTGGAGCACTCCAGAATATGTATTCTGGTCAATGTCCAAAACGGGCTAGCCCTGCTCCTGCCAGCAAACACCCTCTGATGTGCTAACGGCCCCAGTGCAGACACCGGCCACGAGTTAAGTGACCGGGGCAGACGGAGGGTCCGTGCCACCCTGCCACGGTTCCGAACGGCACCTGGCGCCCGCCGGCCGCCCGCCAGGATCCCCGGGGCCTTCTAAGGGTGAAGTCAGAACGACTGGCCCTGCACCTCCTCACGCTGAGGGTGAGGTCCGCTGCCTAGCGGAGTGCCACCCCAAACCCACAAGGGGTGGGTCCAGGGGAGGGCCACCCGCCCCGCCCACTCGGCGCTCCACCCAGCTTACGAACCCCCGGGGAACCCCCACCCAGAACCGTGGGCTGACATTTCAGGTCTTTGGTTAATATTTTGCATATCACTCTTAATCTTTCATCAGAATGTTGGCCATTTTTCTTCCAAGTCTGTAAATTTTTAACTTCTTTTTGCGTGTGTGTTGTTCTAACATCACCCGAAGGTCAGAGGGGTAGAGCAAAGCGCGCCTCTTACTTTACCGGGGCGGAAGGGGCTTCTGCCCGCAGCTCGCCCCGACGCCAGCCGGGATCCCCAGCACTGGCTTGGCACCTCTGCAGCGTGTGTGACCACACGCGAATGCACCCGTCTCCCAGTTCTCGCGGCACCCACGGTAGACGGGACTTACCCCCCAGGTCTCCCCCCCCCCCCCCCATGCTGGTTGCCGATCCTCACTGAGGTTTCCTGGAACCTTCTCGAGACAGAAAGTGACAGACCCCCCTTCACTGAGCACCCCGGCCGCTCCTTCCTAGGGCGCCCCATGCCCAGCCGGCTTTGCACAGCCCCGACCCCCACCCAGGGCACCCAGGGGCCCAACGAAGCATCTAGGTCTTTCCAGCTACTAATTCGGCCCATTTTTAAAAAAGTGCCCATTTCTGCTCTCACAAGACAAGTTGAAGCTAGCGCCAGTGATTGTTTCGAGGTCAAGATTTCCACATCAGCTGTCAGCCATTCCCACTTGGAACCGGGGGCTCTAATGCTCTCGTTCAGGCCTGTGAACACGGGGTGACTCTGCGTCGTGGGAGGAGAGGCTAGACCCCAGGACCTCGAGGCTGGAGACCACCAGGGTGGACGAGGGCCTGGACCGCACCCGCCCCCCCTTCGGGGCCAGAGCCTGTGCTGGGCACCCCCACCCCCTCCAGGTGGGACCCCTGCGCGTGGAAGACGCAACAAGGAACACAGGGTAAGTGAGGGCCCCCAGGGAAACACCCCTTTCCCCAGGCGTTTTCTCCAGCAGACAGCCCCGATGCCGGTCAGCGGGCCCACTGGCCGCACCACGGCCCTCCGCGGGCTCCAGCCGGCTGTTTGCGGTGCCAGCAGGGAAGGCAGGTGACCTCACACTTCGGGCCGGGAAGTGGCACTTCCCCTCCCCCACACCCCGCTGGCCCATGGCTCCCCTGGTGCCCTCTGCAGCCTGACAGCACAGACCTGCCGGCGGGACGCCCAGGGCCTGACCGCCATCAGCTCCCACCCACAAGGCCCCAGACCAGGCCCGAG